AGTCCTTGCAGGAAGCCAGGGCAAGAAGTGAACACAAGACAGGAATGTAGAATCCCCCATCCCGGCTCTAATTTGACCACTGGCCAGGACCTTCTCCACCTTCCTCCTCCTCCCTGCCCCAGCCACCCACTTCTCCAGTTCTCCTCTCCGAAGATAATCTCCTAGCCCTTCCCTGCACTGTTCTGGACACTTGGTAGTGATCCTAACTTATTGCTAGGGAGTCACAGTCTAAGGGGAAAGGGGGTGGGGGTGGCCGTAGCTGGGAACAAAGTGTGAGGTGGGTGAAGTTACAGGTGGAGGGGAGGCAGTGTGGGCTTAACTGGACTAAGCTAAGACTGCTTGGATGATTAGGGAGGTAGAGCTGGGGAAGGAAAGGCAGTGCTGGAGAAGGAATGGCAAATGCAAAGACCTGGGAATGAGTGCTTTATATGTCGGGGAAAACGGAAGGAAATTCACTAAACCTGGAGTTGGACATGAAGAAAGTGGGTAGGGCTTTGAGGCTTGGTGAGTTGGTCCAGGCCAGGCTGGAGGAGGAGGTCGTGGGGTGCCTAGTCAGGAGTCTGCCGCCTAGCCTGCAGAGCCCTGAATGTGGGCCAGTCCCTTCCCCGGGGCGCACGCAAACTTCTAACGATCAGATGCTGCTGAGAGTCCACCTGAGCTCTGATAAATGGAGACTGTTGGAGTTTTAACTTTTGTAATTGATATGTTACTTCTGGTAATGCAGACAGAAAACTCTCCCTCCAGTCCTGCCCCTAGGAATATAGAAGCTAATAAGTCTATACCGTTGCCTTTTTTCGAATCACAGATGGGATGGTATAGTGCTTGTGTGTTAATGCCAAGCACCTGGCACAGGGCCCGGCTCAGTAAATATTTGTTGAATGAAGGAGCAAAGAAAGGAACTGAGGACACTCCGCGAACCGAACCTCGCTGACCCGTGTGCCCGGACTTTTGGGCTGGGCTGGGTGGAGGGGGTCTGCAGCGAGGCTCCCCGACTGGTTGCTGGCGGGCTTGGCCCTGCGGGGGGCGCTGGGAGGGGGTCCTCCAAACGCCGCCCTTCTCCCCAGCCCTGAATGAGCCCACCATCGACTACGGATTCCAGAGGCTACAGAAAGCCATCCCCAGACACCCTGGAGATCCCGAGAGGCTGCCCAAGGTACCCAGAGGGGCGCAGGGACCGGGGATGAGGGTGACCCGTGGCCCGGGGGCGGGGGGGGGCGGGGGGAGACGCCCGACCCCTCGGCCGCCCCCAGGGGCTGGCCCTCCGTCCCGCTGTGTCCTCCCCCAACCCCCAGGAAGTGCTGTTGAAGCGGGCGGCCGACTTGGCGGAGGCCCTGTACGGAGTGCCCAGCAGTAACCAGGTATGGCGCCTCCGCCCGCCTCCTCGCGCCGCCAGGCCCGGGGCTGTCCCCCTCCCGGCGCCTGCGGCTGCCCCGGCCGTGCCCCGCTCTTGTCTTCGCAGGAGCTCCTCCTGAAGCGCGCGGCGGACGTGGCCGAGGCTCTGTACAGCGCCCCCCGCGCGCCCGCGCCGCTCGGACCCCTGGCCCCGAGCCACCCGCACCCCGCCGTCGTGGGCATCAACGCTTTCAGCAGCCCGCTGGCCATCGCGGTCGGGGACGCCACGCCGGGCCCGGAGCCGGGTGCGTCCCGCCGCCCCCCGCGCGCAGCGCCCCCCACCGGCGCCCGCGCGCGCTGCGCGCCTGACCGCCCTCTCTCGCAGGCTACGCGCGCAGCTGCGGCAGCGCGTCCCCGCGCGGGTTCGCGCCCAGCCCCGGCTCGCAGCAGAGCAGCTACGGCAGCGGCCTCGGCGCCGGCCTCGGCGGCTACGGGGCGCCGGGCGTGGCCGGCCTCGGCGTGCCCGGGTCCCCTAGCTTCCTCAATGGCTCCACGGCCACCTCGCCCTTCGCCAGTGAGTGTCCCCGGCCCGGGGAGCTGCATGGGGCTCAGCCCTGCCCCCTCCCAGCCCAGGGTGGGTGGGGGGCTTCCGGCGACTGTCTCACCACGGTCGACCCTGGCCTGGCCCTCCGGAGCCCGGCCAGCCCTCTCCGCGTGTGACCTGTCTCTGCCGTTGGACGCTCGCCCCTCGACCCCACCCCTCGGCGGCGCCCCGGGCCCTGGGGCCGGAGCAGTTCTCGCGCCTTTAGTCTCTTTGCGGATTTCAGCTGCACGCCTCGTTTCTAGCCCTCCCTTCCTCCTACGGGGGGACAACTGGCTGAATCCTGGCGGACCGCCACTTTTCTATCTTACGCCAGGACTTTGGGAGGAGGCTAGCGCCCCCTGCCGGGGGAACTAATGGCTCAGTCCAAATGGGCTTCTACGGGTCTGAAAAAACGGGTCGGAGGAGAGATGGGGCTCCCTGCAATCAGCTCGGGAAGAGCGAGCAGGCGAAGTCTGCGTGGTCAGACAGCTGGATTCAGGGTGTGAAAGTCCAAATCAGGAGCAGGCTGACATTCAGCAAGTCACTTTATTTCTTTCAACTTCAGTTTCCTCTCTGTAAAATGGGATCAGTATCACCCTGCCTGGGGTTGTTCCCTGATCTGAAGCAGCCACTGTGCATGAAGTGCCCAGACTTAGAAAGAGTGTGTGATTTCACATCCTAGGGACTGCTCTTTCTGGCTGTGGGTTTGAGCCTGATTCTCCTGGTGGCCTGGGCTCAGCATCTGGGACCCAAAGCCCCATATGCCCATGTTTACATAAGCCATGAACCTCTGCTGTCAGTACCTACACCCCTGTGTCTCCTGGCCCTCTGCTCAGGGCAGGCTCCACTTCTCCCACTTCCTTCAGATCTGGGACAGCATTCTTAAAGACTCTCTGGGAGCCCCTTGAATTTTAAACTGGTAGGGTCTGGACTACCAGCCCCACTCCTCCACCACATACACACACACACACACACACACACACACACACACACACACAGTCCAGTCAGAAGTGGGGAACATATTGCCCCAGGGGGCAGAAGCCACCCCATCTGGGATCTCCCCATTCAGCCAGAGGATCAAGAATTCTAGAGCAGCTTGAGCCCTGCTTCCAGCATCAGCTGGGAACACCCTGGACTTGCCTAAGGGTCAGTCCCATCTCGTGAACAGGTCTTACCCAGGTCCCCATCCCATTCCCTGTGTCATTCTCATTGAGTTTGGCAGGACATGCCTGAAATGACATCCAGAACTGCCCCAGCCAGAGGGTCTGGGACTGTCTGCTTGGGCCTCCCCCTTGGTCTTCTGCTTTGGCCACCAGCAACTCCCAGTTTGACCCACAAATCCCAGTACTACCCAAGCTACAATATGTGGCTGTGAGCTCCCAGCCTTGGGAGATACAGTACATTTTCTGGCATTCGTCTCAAGCCCTCCACGGAGCTCCATGGACCTCATCAACTAGCCGTGAGCACTGTCTTAAGGAGATGGTGCTCCATGAGGCTGAGGACATTTGGAACAGGGGTAGCTGTTGAAGGCATCACTTTATCAAAGGGGGAGGGGGTGCTCTGATGCCAAAGGCAGCCTTCTCAAGCTATTGGTTTCTTTCAGGAAGCCACCCCATGACTTTCACCCCCACCCCATGCAGGCTGCTTGGATGACACTCAAATCACAACCTTATTGGTATTCAGAAGAGAGAGGCAGGGAGCCCGGGTTAGATGAAAATGTAGAAAGGAGGATCCAGAGGTGCCCGAAGCCCCCAGGATAGGAGGCTTCAGGAAGGAGGGGCAGCCAGAGCCTGTGTGCTAGAGGCTCCCTGGCCATTCCCAGGAGAGCAATGCACAGCCCTGGATGGCCCGGAGGTCTCGAACAGGAAGACGCAAGGATGTGGATCTCTGTGTTTTTGTTCAAAATTGACTGGCCGGAGGAGGGAGATATAGGGAGGCCTCCAGGCCCCGACTAGGGGTGACAAGGACCTGTATTAAGCTGGCAGAGAACAAAGTGCCCAGTGGGGGCAGATGGTAAGGGAGTGGGGTTGGTAAGGGAAACATATGTGTGGAGGAAGTTAGGGTACTTGTGTGAGTTGAGATCCTGGGCAGAGAGGCCTTATAACAGGAACCTGTGTGTACCCCTCCAAACATCCCTGACCTCTTGCTCCAGCTCTGCTATGAACCCTGATCTTTGACTCTTAACTTTGGTACCCCAAGGCCCACAAATGTTCCTTAGCATCTCAGAATCCCAGTGGCTTTCAGCAGGAATCCTGATCTATTCCTATTCTATTCCGTCTCTTCCACATCTTTCATCTTTGGGGACACCTCCCAGTATTTGGTTTTGTTCAGTGTTCTGGTTTTGCTTTGATTTTGACCTAGTCTGGCCCTGTCATTTCCAGCCCCAGGGAAGGGTCTTTAGAACCTCCCTGAAAGACAAATGCTGGCCCAGGACCCCAGGGACTCCTAGCCTGCCTCCAGCCCCTGCCTGGTATTGGTCTCCCCAGGACCATCACAGCAGCCCCCTAGTGAGGTCTGGGCCTGGTGCCTGGGTCAGCAGCCCACCTGGGGCCCACCACCCGTGCCAGGGCCCCAACCGAGCTGCTCACTCTGGTGCTGTCTCCCTGTTGTGTCTCCCACCACCTTCCCTGCTACGCCTGCCCCCCCCCCCCCCCCCCCCGAGTCATGCCCTCTAGCCCCCCACTGGCCGCTGCCTCCTCCATGTCCCTCCCGGCCGCTGCCCCCACCACCAGCATCTTCTCCTTCTCGCCTGTCAACATGATCTCCGCTGTCAAACAGAGGAGCGCCTTCGCCCCCGTGCTGCGCCCACCCAGCTCCCCACCCCAGGCCTGCCCGAGAGCCCACGGAGAGGGACTTGCAGGTGGGTGACCCGTGCTGCCCCGCTATGGCCTGGTGGAGCAGCTAGGCTTCCGGCACTCACCCCGTCCACATCTCACCAGAGCCTCGTGCTGGTTGGCCAGGTATCCCTGGAGGGTGTAGAGCAGGGAGCTCTGCCGGGGACCCAGGAGGTCCATCTGGATCCCACATCCCTGGGCCCCATCGCTTGGTGTCGTCACCACTCTGAGTACTGTCAGTTGGCCACTTGACCACGGAGAAGACTCGAATCCCAGTTGGAGAAGGTCTAGGAACCCCTCCAAGGCCCCATCCCCACCTGGTTGAGCCCAGAGCAAAGACCCCACACTCAGAGCTGGAGAAACCCCACACAGGCTGCAGGCCTTTGACCTGGGCCTCCCAGCATCCACTGGAGGGTAGCACGCACCGCTGTGAGGGACTGGGTCACTCAGCGGATGGAAGGGGACTGACTTTAGATGAGGTTTAGCCCAGCACCCCCTCCCCCATTTTTATGGATGTGGAATTGAGACGATGTCACCCTTACCACATGCTATTAGTGAAATGGTTGTTGTTTGTCAGTTATCAATCTCCTTCAAGTCAACATTCAACTTAACAAAGCCTGGGCCCTAGCCAGTAGTATAGAGTGAGTCAGGGATCACATCCCCCCGAATAAGATGACTCAGGGTGGGCTCATTAGATAATGCTCTAGGATGATTTCAAAGGGCACACGGGCTTTTTTTTTTCCTTTTTTGCCTTGTTTCCAAGTTTTGTATAATTTTTCTTAACCCAAGTGTGTCTGGAGTTTAAAATGTGAGTTTTGAGGAGCAGAGCGCCACCGATTTCTCCCACCAGCAGAGAGAAAACGTGGGGGCGGGGGTTTCAGCGGGGGAGAGGATGCTGGAAGTGATGAATTTCGTGCACGTCTGGGAGGGAGACAGGCCACTGCCACGGGAGGGGTCCGTACTCCAAGAGGCTGACCTCCTCTGTTTCCTCACCCTGGCACAGGCCCTGCGGTGGAAGCAGGGCTGGGAAGAGGAGCCCAGAGTCATCTTTTTCTATTAAGGCAGTGAGACATGAAGGACCTGGGGTCGCACCTCCTAAGAGGCCTGAGGGGTGCGCCTCACCTAACTGTCAGCAGTGCCCGCCAGGCCAGGACAAGGAGCGGCCGAGCACCTGCCAGGCTCTCCGTAGCTCTGCCCTCAGGAAGGGCCATATGCCCAGCGTGCTGTCCCCAGCCCAGAGGCACACAGGCAGATAAGGTCCCCAGGCCACACGTAGCTTATGGTTTGTCTCTTTGCCTACCACAGACCAGCCTTTTGAGGATTCCGACAAGTTCCACTCTTCAGCCCGGGGGCTTCAGGGCCTGGCGTACTCCTAATCACGGTAGGTCTCTGGCTGGGCCTTGCTTCCTCCCCTGGCCCTGCATAGACTCTACAAAACACTTTAGCAAGGATGGGGCCCTGGGGTCCGAGTCTCCCTCTCCAGGGCCTATCTAGACAGCTGTCAGGGCCACACAGCCAGCCCCCTCCTGCCCCCGACCCACGATGGCCTAAGCTGAAAAGGTGGAGAGAAGGGGTTTCCTGTCCACTTACAGCCAGCCTTTTTCCAGGACCTTCTCTCCCTCTCCCCACCAGGTCTGCAGGTGTTGCCCCCACTGAGCCCGGACTGGAGGTCCCTCTGGGATACACACTCATGTCCTGGACGGCAGCACAGAGAGATCCAGACCCAGGGCTTCGGGCAGACATCCACCCCAACGCCTGAATAGGCCTCCTGTGCTTGAGGCCTCCCGCCCCACAGGCTTCTCTCACCTCCCTTTCTCGGGGCTGGTCGGAAGCCCTAGCACTGTGCTGATGCTCTTGGCAGGAGAGCCTCCCGGGGAGGTACCGGGATGCTGGGCTTTCCTCACTGGGTCAGTTCCTCTGGAAGAGCTGGACCTTGTGCAGACCGGACCCTGAGGTGACAGGAGCAGGGGGTGGGGACCGTGGGAAAGCGGACAGCTCAGGGAGAGGTGGCCTGGGGAGGTCCTGTTGGTGTCGGACCCATCTCAGCTGGCCCAGCATCCCGACTTCTCTCCAGGGCAAGGCGTGGTGCCCGGCAGCCTCAGGAGGCCTGCCCAGGCTCCCATGGAGCTTCCAACGGCTGCTCGACCCCCGTGGCTACCCCCTTTGAGGCCTGCACACTCACGCTTGTCGCATTATGAATCCCACCGGGGGCTTTTGGCACGGAGGGTGCAGAAGAGGGAGTGCCAAGCCCCCTGAATTGTGGGTCTTCCTCCCGATGGCTATCTCATGGACTCTGGCCCCCCACACACATGACTCCAGCTGGCCCCATGGTACCATGCAATGGGCCTAGCTGCCCCTGGCCTCATATTCCAATCAGCTGAGGTTGGAGAAAACAGAACAATAAACACAGCTTCAAGTGGCCGGATGGCCTCTCTTGCCTGCTTCCTTGGCGTGGGTCTGCTTTTCTCAGCGCTTCTGCGGCGCTCCTGGGAACCCTCCCAGCCATGCCCCTGTGCAGCCTTCTTGCACCTCGGGCTTTTTCAACAGCCCCAGAGTTGAGCAAGTATTACCTGCCCCATGTCTGCTCTCAGGTACTGTTGGGGGTGGTGGGCAGGCTAGTAGGCCTGAGGACCTAGGAGCTTAGGTGGGCTCCACCCCAGGAGCTTAGACTGGGAGCACAACCTGGCCACTGAGGACTCAGTCCCCCGGCTGTCTGGCCAGGACCAAGGCAGGGGTTGCCAGAGGACTGCCCGGGAATGAGAAGAGCACAAGCAAAACGCTGTTCAGTTGCCCAGAGGCTCGGAAGTGAGATCCGTTCTGAACGGAGGTTACGGGGCCTCACCTGGCCAAGGCAGGACAGGGTAGGGCAGCTTTTGGTCCTGAGGTTGCCTATTTGAGCAAATCCCAACCACCCCCTTCCCCAGGTCTAGGCACCTTTGGCTCTCCTGTCTCAGACTTTGGGAGGAGGGGTAGTAAAGAGGCAAGATTTTCAGGCTCATTTACCACCCTCCCCCCTTCTGGAATGAATCCCTGCCATCCCCTGAGATGTGTCCCCTAGATCCCAAAGGTCTGGCTAGCTGACTCTGGAAGCCACTTTTTTGACCCACTGTCCGGGGAGCCCAGCATCCAGCTCCAGGCCTCAGGCCTTACTCTCTTCCTGGTGGTCCTCCTTGGCTCTGGCCTCTGGAAACTCTGCAACCCATGGCCCCATGCCCTGCAGTCCTCTGGGCAAAATACACTTGCCAAAGCAGATGGGCCCTTCGTGTCCTTCAGAGGCCTTCACTTCCTTCTCTTGTGTTCTTGGCCAATACCAGGGATTCAGCTCACTTGGGGCCCAATGGGATAGCCTTCTGTTCATCTCTGTGCTCCCCTGGCCTCCCGCTCAGCTCTTGCTTCCAGTCCATGTTGCAGAGCCCCAAAGCCTGCCAGCCCGCACCCTGCTCCAAACAGGCTCCGAGCAAGTCCCATGGCCCAGCCCCCCCCCCCCCCCGCCCCAAGGCTGAACACCTGCAGAACCGTAATCTGCACTGGATGCAGGTGGTAGCTGGGTAGTGGTCACACTCTGGTTCCTGGGGTGGGTCAGGTGCATGGTTGCTATAAATGAGACGTGAGATCTGGCCTCAAAGATTTCAAAACTGTGCTCAGGCCACCATCCAAGTCAACACTGCCCACCCCCTCATCCACAGAAGGCAGGACTAAATCAGTGACTAAATGTTTGCTTTGAACCGAATTGTGTCCTCCCAAAACTCATACACTGAAGCCCTAACCCTTCCCTCCATGTGGTGGTGTTTGTATATAGGGCCTTTAAGGAGGTGATTAAGGTTAAATAGGGTTAGAAGAGTGGGGCCGTAATCTGATCAAGTTGTGTCCTTGTATGAAGAGGAAGAGACTCCAGAGTTCTCTCTTCACTATGTGAGGATACAGCGAGGTGTCCCTCTACAAGCCAGAGAGAGAGTCCTGACCAGGAACTGAATCAGCTGACACCTTGATCTGGGACTTCCAACTTCCAGAACTATGAGAAAATATATTTCTGTTGTTCAAGCCACTCCGTTTCTAGTATTTTGTTATGGCGACCCAGGCTGACTAATACAGTGTTCTTTCCTACGTGTCTTGGTTTGGGTTCCCCTAGAAGGAGAACCTGAGGCAAGTTCCCTGCGGGAGAGCTCTGGGAGACCGTATAGAACACACCTCAGAGCTCTCCCACCCGAGGGGTGGAGAATCTGGGATATTGATCTTCCAGCCCTCATCTGCAATTGCCTGAGAACTGCTCCCAGGAGATTAGCCTTCTGGCACATCTGGCCTGCCCTCCCACCTGCAGAAGAGAAGCCACCAGTTAGGGTTTTGTTATAGGATGTTGCAAGTAAGTACCGGAACCGAACTGTTAAGTCCAAAGGGATATGGGCAAGGCACCAAGAGCCTCTCCTGCTAGCCCTTTGGAGAGAGAGCATCTCCAGAAAGTCCTCTGCCTTCCTCCCACATATGTTTTCCAGCAGAAGCAGGCTGCACCCTACCCTGGGGACCTGGCAGCCTTGGGGGCTGCATTTAGCTCAGACAGGACCCACTGTGGACAGGCTCCACTGACTCAAGCGAAGGTAGGCAGCAGCTTTGACAAGCCCTCCGGCTGACTATTCTGCAAAATACCCTTCTCCCCGACCCCCACCCATGTGGGTGGGGTCCTTCTTTTTCCCAAAAGAAAAATCTCCCAGAAAAATGGGAAGTGCCATGCATCGGGGGGAAAGATGGTCTTTTCAATAAATGACATTGAGTCCACTGGATATTTACATAAAAAATTAAACTGGACCTCTGCCTCACACCATACACAAAAATTAATTCTAGGTGGACTGTGGATCCAAATGTGAAAGCTAAAACAATAAGCTTCATGCCTTTGAAGACAGACTAGAAGCCCTTTGCCAGAGTAACCTCCAAGGTCTGTCTTCCCACTGCATGATCAATTTTAGAATGAGGCAGACAGGGGCGCCTGGGTGGCTCAGTCGGTTAAGCGTCTGCCTTCGGCTCAGGTCATGATCCCAGGGTCCTGGGATCGAACCCCATATCAGGCTCCCTGCTCGGTGGAAAGCCTGCTTCTCCCTCTCCCACTCCCCCTGCTTGTGTTCCTGCTCTCTCTCTCTCTCTCTCTCTCTCTCACTGTCAAATAAATAAAATCTTTTTAAAAAATAAAAGAATGAGGCAAACATTCAACATGTTTGAGGTGGTTCGAATGGACCCCCAAATATCTTTTCTCTTTCCTAGGATGACTTCTCTGAATAGGAAAAAGTTCATACATCACGGGATCTTTCTCCCCTAGAAAAGGCAGGCTCTTCACAGTGATTCTCTGAAGCTCCTAGCTCTTTTTTTTTTTTTAAGATCTATTTATTTATTTTGAGAGAGTGAGAGAGAGAGAGAGAGCGCGCGCACGCACATGAGAGGGGGGAGGGCCAGAGAGAGAAGCAGGTTCCTCGCTGAGCAGGGAGCCCGATGCAGGACTCCAGGATCATGACCTGAGCCGAAGGCAGACGCTTAACCGACTGAGCCACCCAGGCGCCCTGAAGCTCCTAGCTCTTGAGCCTGGAGTGGCCCTCTCCTGCCTTCCTACCCACACCTATACCCTTGAGCTTCCTTCCTCTGCCACCACTCAGTGGCGGTAACAGGACCCATCGGAGGATAGAAGGAAATGAGCCACCTCCTGGAGGCTGCCAGGCTTTAAGACTGATGTTCACAAGAACCCCAACATGCGGGTCCTAATGGGTGTGCAGCAATGACCATCCGTATGGACCCATCCTCCTATTACTTCCTGAACATTCCCCTTCTCTTCACTCTCATTGTGAGATTTTGTTTAATTGTTTTTATTTAACTAATCTCTACACCCAATGTGGGACTCGAACTCATGACCCCAAGATCAAGAGTCGCATGCCCTTTTGGCTGAGTCAGCCAGGCTCCCCTCATTATGAGATTTTTACCAGAACTTCTTAACTGAATGTAGTCTAAGTTATCAATTTTTCTTTGTGGTTAGTGCTTTTTGTATCCTTTTAAGACATCTCTACCTAACTACAAATCAAGAAGATATTTTTGAGTATGGTATGAGCTAGAAGTCGTTTAATTATTTTTGTATGGATAGTCAGTTGGCTCAGGCCCATTTATCGAAATGATCAACTTTCAACCCTGCCCTGCAGTTGGCACCTTTATCATGAATCAAGCATATATATACATATATATATACATATATATATGTATATATATGTATATATACATATATATATGGGTCTGTTCTGGATTCTCTATTCTGATCCACTGGTCTTTTTATCTTTACACTGATACTACACTATCTTAATTACTTTAGATTTGTAGTAAGTTTTTATATCTAGTACAGCAAGTTGTCCAACTTAGTTCTTCATGATGATCTTGGCTACACTTGGTCCTTTGCATTTCCAAGTAAATGGGATAATCAGTTTATTAACTTCTATTTTTAAAAAACCTACTGAATTTTCCTTGACATTGCATCTGTAAATTTATAGATCAGTTAATGGAGAATTGAAGCCTTTGATATATTGAGTATCTCAATCTATGGATATTGTATATTCCTTCATTTAGTTCTATCTTTTAAAACTTCTCTTGATAGTATTTTTTTAAGATACTTATTTATTTATTTATTTATTTGACAGAGAGAGAACACAAGCAGAGGG